ATTGTTGTTACATTGGCATTGTTGGCATTGTTGATACATTGGCATTGTTGATACATTGGCATTGTTGATACATTGACATTGTTGATACATTGGCATTGTTGATACATTGGCATTGTTGTTACATTGGCATTGTTGGCATTGTTGATACATTGGCATTGTTGATACATTGGCATTGTTGATACATTGGCATTGATGCTGCATTGGCATTGTTGCTACATCGACATTGTTGATACATTGGCATTGTTGATACATTGACATTGTTGATACCTTGGCATTGTTGATACATTGACATTGTTGATACATTGACATTGTTGATACCTTGGCATTGTTGATACATTGACATTGTTGATACATTGGCATTGTTGCTACATTGGCATTGTTGCCACATTGGAATTGCTGCTGCATTGGCATTGTTGTTGCATTGACATTGTTGATACATTGGCATTGTTGATACATTGGCATTGTTGCTACATTGACATTGTTGATACATTGGCATTGTTGATCCATTGACATTGTTGCTACATTGACATTGTTGATGCATTGGCATTGTTGCTACATTGACATTGTTGATACATTGGCATTGTTGCTTCATTGTTGCTACATTGGCATTGTTGACACATTGACATTGTTGATACATTGGCATTGTTGATACATTGGTATTGTTGCTACATTGGCATTGTTGCTACATTGGCATTGCTGATACATTGACATTGTTGATACGTTGGCATTGTTGATACATTGGCATTGTTGATACATTGGCATTGTTGATACATTCGCATTGTTGATACATTGGCATTGTTGATACATTGACATTGTTGATACCTTGGCATTGTTGATACATTGACATTGTTGATACATTGACATTGTTGATACCTTGGCATTGTTGATACATTGACATTGTTGATACATTGGCATTGTTGCTACATTGGCATTGTTGCCACATTGGAATTGCTGCTGCATTGGCATTGATGTTGCATTGACATTGTTGATACATTGGCATTGTTGATACATTGGCATTGTTGCTGCATTGGCATTGTTGCTACATTGACATTGTTGATACATTGGCATTGTTGTTGCATTGGCATTGTTGCTACATTGGCATTGTTGATACATTGACATTGTTGATACATTGACATTGTTGATACATTGGCATTGTTGATACATTGGCATTGATGCTGCATTGGCATTGTTGCTACATTGACATTGTTGCTACATTGACATTGTTGATATATTGGCATTGTTGATACATTGACATTGTTGATACATTGGCATTGTTGATACATTGGCATTGTTGATACATAGGCATTGTTGATACATTGGCATTGTTGATACATTGACATTGTTGATACCTTGGCATTGTTGATACATTGACATTGTTGATACATTGACATTGTTGATACCTTGGCATTGTTGATACATTGACATTGTTGATACATTGGCATTGTTGCTACATTGGCATTGTTGCCACATTGGAATTGCTGCTGCATTGGCATTGATGTTGCATTGACATTGTTGATACATTGGCATTGTTGATACATTGGCATTGTTGCTGCATTGGCATTGTTGCTACATTGACATTGTTGATACATTGGCATTGTTGTTGCATTGGCATTGTTGCTACATTGGCATTGTTGATACATTGACATTGTTGATACATTGACATTGTTGATACATTGACATTGTTGATACATTGGCATTGTTGATACATTGGCATTGATGCTGCATTGGCATTGATGCTGCATTGGCATTGTTGATACATTGGCATTGTTGCTACATTGCCATTGTTGATACATTGGCATTGTTGCTACATTGGCATTGTTGCTACATTAACATTGTTGCTACATTGGCATTGTTGATACATTGACATTGTTGTTGCATTGGTATTGTTGATACATTGGCATTGTTGATACATTGGCATTGTTGATACATTGGCATTGTTGCTACATTGGCATTGTTGATACATTGACATTGTTGATACATTGGCATTGTTGCTACATTGACATTGTTGCTACATTGACATTGTTGATACATTAACATTGTTGCTACATTAACATTGCTGTTGCATTGACATTCTTGATACATTGGCATTGTTGCTACATTGGCATTGTTGCTACATTAACATTGTTGATACATTGGCATTGTTGCTACATTGACTTTGTTGCTACATTGGCATTGTTGCTACATTGGCATTGTTGATACATTGACATTGTTGATACATTGGCATTGTTGCTACATTAACATTGTTGATACATTGGCATTGTTGATACATTGGCATTGTTGCTACATTGACTTTGTTGCTACATTGGCATTGTTGCTACATTGGCATTGTTGATACATTGACATTGTTGATACATTGGCATTGTTGATACATTGTTGCTACATTGGCATTGTTGCTGCATTGGCATTGTTGATACATTGACATTGTTGCTACATTAACATTGTTGCTACATTAACATTGTTGATACATTGGCATTGTTGATACATTGACATTGTTGATACATTGTTGCTACATTGACTTTGTTGCTGCATTGGCATTGCTGCTACATTGGCACTCGTGCACCGCCCGTGCTCCTGATGCTGTTGATACCCTTGGGATATGCCCAGCCCCAGACCTTTATAAACAGTTTGCCTTTAGAGGCTGACTCCTTTGCCTGATGACGGCCGCTTGTGTTGCGATGGGGACGTCTTGATTTGATTCATTTTATTGTATCTCTAGCTACGTGACTTTGGCGAAACGACCAAAGAGTATGGAGTCCTCCAGTCACGAAAGCTTAAAATCAAGATAATCGCCTCTACTGTTGAATGAAGTAGACTATGGCCAAAAGTTCCCAGCGAGTAACACAATACCGCTGTTCACAATAAAGGTTTTTTTTGGGTTAGATTAGATCTAACGCGTTTGCTTATAAGTGTGTCGTAACCCTCCACCACCCGACGCGGCCAATCAGCAAAAAAAAAAGGTGTCACGTTGACAAAAAGACAAAAACTAGTTCGCCTACTTTAGCCCCTCATCGGTGGTGGTGTTGAAGAGTGAATCCACAACTTTGACAGCTTGAGTTGTACTGTGACGTTCCGCTGGTAAATACATCACCGGCATCGTCGTCGGGAAAATTCGCCGGAATGGTAAAGCCCTCTCTCAACGTCATCATTTCGACTCATTTCGTATTCAAACTGTTCAGAGTCATCGTCTTTGGTTCTTTCGGTAAAGTCACCACCACCACCACCACGTAGAATGAGAATGAAATAATAATAAATTGATAAAATAAAACAACATAACGCAATAATATTCTCACGACGTTTCATTTCGTATTCAAACTGTTCAGAGTCATCGTCTTTGGTTCTTTCGGTAAAGTCACCACCACCACCACCACGTAGAATGAGAATAAAATAATAATAAATTGATAAAATAAAACAACATAACGCAATAAAATTCTCAAGAGACGTTTCGGCCACAACACAAGCGGCCTTGATCAGGCGAAGGGGACGAGACTGGTCTGGTAGGACAGCGCTGGAGTGTTCAGAGTTATTAATTAATTACTTCCACTAAAGCCGATGTGTCAACAAGCCAACGGTGGGCTGGCAATCAATGAATCAATCTCGGCGCACCCGCGCCGAGATTTGGTGTGTCACACCAAAGCACTGATTTATATTTAAAGCTTTCGTGACTGCAATGATTCATCTTCTTTGGTTCTTTCGGTAAAGTCACCACCCACCCACCCACGTAGAATGAGAATAAAATAATAATAAATTGATAAAAATAAAATAGCACGCTAATAACATTCTCACAATAATATTCTAGTGAGAATATTATTATTATCGTGTTATTTCATTTTTATCAATTTATCATTATTTTATTCTCATTCTACGTGGTGGTGGTGGGTGGTGGGTGGTGACTTTACCGAAAGAACCAAAGCAGACTGATTTATAGTCATCCACAGACTCTCTCTTCGCACGTGCTCAATCACAACGCGTCACGACGTCGGCCTACGCTTAGATTTATTTCCCGGAGCGACGAGGCGACTCCCTCTCCTCCTCCTCCTCCTCCTCCTCCTCCTCCTCCTCCTCCTCCTCCTCCTCCTCCCCGCTCTCTCCGCGTATGGCCTCCTCCAGCCAGCCGCCCCTTCCTCCCACATCACCTGACCCCGTCGCAGAGTTACGCCTATCCGCCCCCCCCCCTACCGCGGAAGCTCGATCCGACTCAATTCGCCTCCCTTTCCCGTGCCCGCTCACCTCTTCAGCTGCCCCCGATGGGGCTGGGGAAGATGCTCGCCCCTGGTGGGGCTGTTTTTTGTCCCTCCTGACCGATGATTGTCGGCTCCACCCTGCACGGCGTCGCTCCAGAAGGACTCCGATCCAATTCATCCTCCCCCCCACCCCCCTCCACCACCGGGTCACGTGACGTCATCCTGCTCATCCAATCGAATCCTCTTTGCGGCCGTTTTGAGCGCTCTGGCCGTTTTTTTGTGGAGGGGGGGGAGGGGAGGGAGGGGAGGATTGTTAACGTAAAAATTAACAATTGAATGCAAAGTCCATGATTGGCCTAGTCGATAGCAAAGGATTTGGATGCTAGAGGGGAGTTATAAGGGGCTTAAAATCAGACCTCAAGATCATTTCGAGAGGGATTTTTTCTGAGGATAGACGCTCGACTCCTCGCTCTGCAGATTTCCCTTCTCCTGCGAGACTCAGCCTGGCGAGCACGATTGCTTGGCGACTGGTTGGCGACTTTGCTTCGGGAGAGTTCGTGGCGATCTCTTTAGACGGGTTACAGGGTCATCGATACACCGTGCATCAACAAGTAAGTGTCTTTGTTAGTGGATAACCTGGTAATCGCGTGTGTAGTCCGTTATACGGGGCGTTACTGTGTCTCGGTTGGACGTTCGTGAGAGTTTGCTTTTTGGCGATTTGAGCCACGCAGCTTAGAGGGCGCCTTTAACTCTCAACAACACCCGCGACTGTTACTCTGCTCTGTAGAATCAGTCACATGGAGCAGATGAACTCTCCACAGTGCCACACACACACGGGCGAGAAGCCATTCAATTGCTCTGTGTGTGGGAAGGCATTTGCATGGAAATCAAATCTTAACACTCACAAGAAAACACACTCGGGCGAGAAGCCATTCAAGTGCTCTGTGTGTGGGAAGGCATTTGCATAGAAATCAAATCTTAACACTCACAAGAAAACACACACGGGCGAGAAACCATTCAATTGTTCTGTGTGTGGGAAGGCATTTGCACGGAAAACAACTCTTAACAGACACCAGAAAACACACACGGGCGAGAAGCCATTCAATTGTTCTCCGTTAGAGAGGACACGGTCATCACCCCGAAACAAGCATGCGAAGATCCGCAATGAGAGTGAAGTGAAATCAAAAGGTGAAATGCAAAGTGCTGCAGTGAGTCCTGAACAAAATGAATCTGTCGACCCTATTCAGGTGAATCCTGAGAGATGCCTGGATGTAGTGGATGTAATGACTCCTGGCAACAATTCCTCTTTCGAGCTCATGCAGTTGGATCCTGAGAGATTGCTGGATGTAATGAGCCCTGGCAACAATTCCTCTTTCGACCCCATGCAGGTGGATACTTAGAAATCGCTGCTGGAGTGGCTGGAGGGTCAAAGTATTGAAGACTTCTGTTAACTCTTGAAGTCCTGGAATGTGCATGTTTGTGTCTCTGTTAGATCAATCAATAAGGTTCAAATGATTACTTCCGTACTCCAAGCCAGAGTGATGTTGTGAATGCTCTATGATGTGTTCGGAAAAAAAGGATTTCCTTTTAAGTTCCAGAAGTGTTCACTTATTTCAGGATGACAACAATTTTATACTTCGATAGATGCGTTGCTTCGTCTGGTGGTTGTATCATCGGCACTGTTAAATGTGTGGTGTTTATGGTAGAAGGTGCCACGTGTTGTCATCTTCTCACAGCTACTTGAGTGTTGAAGTTCCTTCTAGACTTCGTCACGTTAAGGTGGTGCTTTGTAGTCATATCGGAATACTTGTTGATGTTGTGTGATGCACAGTGGTTGTGAGGTGGTCCAATTCCTGATTTTACTCTCGTGACTAAGTGGCCTTGTTGAGCTAAAGTTGGAGAAAGACTGTGATCATAACGTTGCCCTATATTGTAAACATATTTCTTTAATTTTCTTTATTGTTTAATTAAAAAAAACTTCTTCAAAGTGTCGGTTTCAGAATGTGCGTTCGTTGTTCCTGTGTTTGATGGCTTGGCCTTGTGGACGAATGGCTTCAATCGATAAGGACGTCAATTGGGAAGGATTAAGACGTTCACGTGTTTGATTTTGAGAATATTTTATGACTGTTGAATTAATGAAAGTGAAATAATTTTCCTGGTTCCTTAACTGTTTGAAAAAGCGAATTAATAAATATTTTGATGCGAGTTTTAACGTTGATATTGTTGCAGATTAATAAAGACGTGATTTGTTTTTTAAAGATGAGTGATCGTACATTATTGCTACCATATCCTTCCTTAGAAAGAACATGGACGAGTAGACATTCACACCCGAGTGTGCATCCTAACACGACTGTTTATATATACAGCGGTGTGCATTCACGCACGAGTGTGCATATACAGGGGTGTACATACATACTTTGAGATGACTACTCAAAGTTTATGACGGAAATTATAACATAACATCCTCGTTTTATAGAAACACCTCGCTCAACACGAGTGTCCTTCAAGATATTTATGAAACAAAGTCAGTACACTGTAAATTTGCACCTCTTAGTCCAAATCAAACTAGACAACAGCATTTTGATTCTTTAGACTATATGTCGCTGTTTAATCCTTTAAACTTGCAGCAGTGTAGAGGACATTGCGGGGTGAATATTAGCAAATTAACAGGAAGCACGGAATAATGCATGGAGATGTACATCTTAATTCAAACGGAAGCGTACAGTTATGCAGTGGGATGTACATACTTATTAAGGTTTAAGTATAATGTGCCAGATTAGCTAAGCTTTGTTGATTTATATGCGGATTGTAAATATTACAAATCTACAATTGAATGCAAAGTCCATGATAGGCCAAATCGAGAACAAAGGATTTGGATGCTAGAGGGGAGTTATAAGGGGCTTAAAATCAGACCTCAAGACCATTTGGAGAGGGATTTTACTGAGGATAGACGCTCGACTCATCGCTCTGCAGATTTCCCTTCTCCTGCGAGACCCAGCCTGGCGAGCACGATTGCTTGGCGACTGGTTGGCGACTTTGCTTCGGGAGAGTTCGTGGCGATCTCTTTAGACGGGTTACAGGGTCATCGATACACCGTGCATCAACAAGTAAGTGTCTTTGTTAGTGGATAACCTGGTAATCGCGTGTGTAGTCCGTCTCACGGGGCTTTACTGTGTCTCGGTTGGACGTTCGTGAGAGTTTGCTTTTTGGCGATTTGAGCCACGCAGCTTAGAGGGCGCCGTTAACTCTCAACAACACCCGCGACTGTTACTCTGCTCTGTAGAATCAGTCACATGGAGCAGATGAACTCTCCACAGTGCCACACACACACGGGCGAGAAGCCGTTCAATTGCTCTGTGTGTGGGAAGGCATTTTCACGGAAATCAACTCTTAGCAGACACCAGAAAACACACACAGGCAAGAAGCCGTTCAATTGCTCTGTGTGTGGGAAGGAATTTTCACAGAAATCACATCTTCAGAGTCACCAGAAAACTCACACAGGCGAGAAGCCGTTCAATTGCTCTGTGTGTGGGAAGGCATTTGCACAGAAATCACATCTTCACAGTCACCAGAAAACACACACGGGCGAGAAGCCATTCAAGTGCTCCTTGTGTGGGAAGAAATTTTCACGGAAAACAATTCTTAACAGACACCAGAAAACACACACGGGTGAGAAGCCATTCAATTGTTCTGTGTGTGGGAAGGCATTTGCACGGAAAACAACTCTTAACAGACACCATAAAACACACACGGGCGAGAAGCCATTCAATTGTTCTCCGTTGGAGAGGACACGGTCATCACCCCGAAACAAGCATGCGAAGATCCGCAATGAGAGTGAAGTGAAATCAAAAGGTGAAATGCAAAGTGCTGCAGTGAGTCCTGAACAAAATGAATCTGTCGACCCTATACAGGTGAATCCTGAGAGATGCCTGGATGTAGTGGATGTAATGACTCCTGGCAACAATTCCTCTTTCGACCTCATGCAGTTGGATCCTGAGAGATTGCTGGATGTCATGAGCCCTGACCACAATTCCTCTTTCGACCCCATGCAGGTGGATACTGAGAAATGGCTGCTGGAGTGGCTGGAGGGTCAAAGTATTGAGCACTTCTGTTAACTATTGAAGTCCTGGAATGTGCATGTTTGTGTCTCTGTTAGATCAATCAATAAGGTTCACATTATTACTTCCGTGATTTCCAGTACTCCAAGCTAGAGTGATGTTGGGAATGCTCTATGATGTGTTCGGGAAATAAAGTATTCCTTTTAAGTTCCAGAAGTGTTCACTTATTTCAGGATGACAACAATTTTATACTTAGATATATGCGTTGCTTCGTCCGGTGGTTGTATCATCGGGACTGTTAAATGTGTGGTGTTTATGGTAGAAGGTGCCACGTGTTGTCATCTTCTCACAGCTACTTGAGTGTTGAAGTTCCTTCTAGACTTCGTCACGTTAAGGTGGTGCTTTGTAGTCAAATCGGATTACTTGTTGATGTGGTGTGATGCACAGTGGTTGTGAGGTGGTCCAATTCCTGATTTTACTCTCGTGACTAAGTGGCCTTGTTGAGCTAAAGTTGGAGAAAGACTGTGAACATAACGTTGCCCTATATTTTAAACATTTTTCTTTAATTTTCTTTATCGTTTGATTAAGAAAACTACTTCAAAGTGTCGGTTTCGGAATGTGCACACTCTTCAAAGTGTACAATTATGCAGTGGGATGTACAAACTTATTAAGGTTTAAGTACAATGGCCAGATTAGCTAAGCTACGTTGATTGATCTGCGGATTGTTAATGTAAAAATTAACAATTGAATGCAAAGTCCATGATAGGCCAAGTCGATAGCAAAGGATTTGGATGCTAGAGGGGAGTTATAAGGGGCTTAAAATCAGACCTCAAGATCATTTCAAGAGGGATTTTTCTGAGGATAGACGCTCGACTCCTCGCTCTGCAGATTTCCCTTCTCCTGCGAGACTCAGCCTGGCGAGCACGATTGCTTGGCGACTGGTTGGCGACTTTGCTTCGGGAGAGTTCGTGGCGATCTCTTCAGACGGGTTACAGGGTCATCGATACACCGTGCATCAACAAGTAAGTGTCTTTGTTAGTGGATAACCTGGTAATCGCGTGTGTAGTCCGTCTCACGGGGCGTTACTGGGTCTCGGTTGGACGTTCGTGAGAGTTTGCTTTTTGGCGATTTGAGCCACGCAGCTTAGAGGGCGCCGTTAACTCTCAACAACACCCGCGACTGTTACTCTGCTCTGTAGAATCAGTCACATGGAGCAGATGAACTCTCCACAGTGCCACGCACACACGGGCGAGAAGCCGTTCAATTGCTCTGTGTGTGGGAAGGCATTTGCATGGAAATCAAATCTTAACACTCACAAGAAAACACACTCGGGTGAGAAGCCGTTCAATTGCTCTGTGTGTGGGAAGGCATTTGCATGGAAATCAAATCTTAACACTCACAAGAAAACACACACGGGTGAGAAGCCGTTCAAGTGCTCTGTTTGTGGGAAGGCATTTGCACGGAAAACAATTCTTAACAGACACCAGAAAACACACACGGGCGAGAAGCCATTCAATTGTTCTCCGTTAGAGAGGACACGGTCATCACCCCGAAACAAGCATGCGAAGATCCGCAATGAGAGTGAAGTGAAATCAAAAGGTGAAATGCAAAGTGCTGCAGTGAGTCCTGAACAAAATGAATCTGTCGACCCTATTCAGGTGAATCCTGAGAGATGCCTGGATGTAGTGGATGTAATGACTCCTGGCAACAATTCCTCTTTCGACCTCATGCAGTTGGATCCTGAGAGATTGCTGGATGTGATGAGCCCTGACCACAATTCCTCTTTCGACCCTATGCAGGTGGATGCTGAGAAATGGCTGCTGGAGTGGCTGGAGGGTCAAAGTGTTGAGTACTTCTGTTAACTCTTGAAGTCCTGGAATGTGCATGTTTGTGTCTCTGTTAGATCAATCAATAAGGTTCAAATGATTACTTCCGTACTCCAAGCCAGAGTGATGTTGTGAATGCTCTATGATGTGTTCGGAAAAAAAGGAATTCCTTTTAAGTTCCAGAAGTGTTCACTTATTTCAGGATGACAACAATTTTATACTTCGATAGATGCGTTGCTTCGTCTGGTGGTTGTATCATCGGCACTGTTAAACGTGTGGTGTTTATGGTAGAAGGTGCCCCGTGTTGTCATCTTCTCATCGCTACTTGAGTGTTGAAGTTCCTTCTAGACTTCGTCACGTTAAGGTGGTGCTTTGTAGTCATTTCGGATTACTTGTTGATGTGGTGTGATGCACAGTGGTTGTGAGGTGGGCCAATTCCTGATTTTACTGTCGTGACTAAGTGGCCTTGTTGAGCTAAAGTTGGAGAAAGACTGTGATCATAACGTTGCCATATATTTTAAACATTTTTCCTTAATTTCTTTATTGTTTGATTTAAAAAAAATACTTCAAAGTGTCGGTTTCAGAATGTGTGTTCGTTGTTCCTATGTTTGATGGCTTGGACTTGTGGACGAATGGCTTCAGTCGATAAGGACGTCAATTTGGAAGGATTAAGACGTTTCCGTGTTTGATTTTGAGAATATTTTATGACTGTAGAATTAATGAAAGTGAAATTATTTTCATAGTTCCTTAACTTGTTTGAAAAAGCGAATTAATAAAGATTTTGATGCGAGTTTTAACGTTGATATTGTTGCAGATTAATAAAGTCCTGATTTGTGTTTTTAAAGATGACTGATCGTAAATTATTGCTACCATTTCCTTCCTTAAAAAGAACATGGACGAGTTGACATTCACACACGAGTGTGCATCCTAACACGACTGTTTATATATATAGCGGTGTGCATTCACACACGAGTGTGCATATACAGGGGTGTACATACATACAGACATACAACGCAGTGTACATTCACAGCAGTGTACGAACACAAGGATTGCGTTCCACTGCGAACACGCACGATTGTACCTGCATACACACACATACGTATACGGGTTTTCATTCTCAGAAGAAGAGCCACTCCATGTTGTTTGGCATTCCCCTGCCACGAATAAAGTTCTGTATTAACAACCTTCAACTTCATCGGCGTTCCCGGTCGGTAACGCTGTGGTGGATAAGAGCAATGTCCTTGAGGGAAGTCTCGTAGCCACCACAGCGGCCCACGAGGTACCTGGACGGGTGCGAGGTGCTGGTAACACCTCCATATTCAATGCAATTACCGTAACAAAAACACGTCCAAAATATAAAACACGTGCTTAAATATTGAACACATTCACAAGAGTATACATACACACTGAAGACTAAAAGTTGATGAGTGATTTTTTTTGCGGTACGTTATGTTAAACCACGCTTTCAAGCTAAACCATTCAGATGATTGCTCAAAGTTTATGACTTAAATTAGAACATATCATCCTCGTTTTCTAGAAACACCCCGCTCAACACGAGTGTCCTTAAATATATTTATGACTCAAAGTCAGTACGGTATAAATTTGCACCTCTTAGTCCAAATCAAACTGGACAACAGCATTTTGATTCTTTAGACTATATGTCGTTGTTTAATCCTTTAAACTTGCAGCAGTTTAGAGGACATTGCGGGGTGAATATTAGCAAATTAACAGGAAGCACGGAATTATGCATGGAGATGTACATCTTTATTCAAACGGAAGCGTACAATTATTCAGTGGGATGTACATGCATAGTAAGGTTTAAGTACAATGTGCCAGAATAGCTAAGCCGATCTTGACACCGCTGGTACCAGTCATCGGTAAGTCCACTCAGCTCCACGTCCTCCTGTACCACATCACTCCATCTCTTCTCTAGCCCGTGCCGTGCCCGCCTAGCCCCCTCAATCCGGCCAAACAAAAGCTGTTTCGGCATGCGGTGGCTGGGCATGCGGGCTACATGACCCAGCCAACGCAGCCTTGCCTGCCGGAGGAGCTCACCGATGGGACCTTGCCCAGATCTTTCGAGATTTTGTGAGCTCCTCACACAATCCAGCCTGGTTAATCCCAGGATTGATCGTAGGCAGGCCAGCATAAATGTTTCTAACCGGCGAAGATGTTCCATTTAGGGGGGGGTCCACGTTTCGCAAGCATAGAGAAGGGAGGGGAATGACCGTGGCCGAGAAGACCTGAAGCTTAGTGCGGAGCGACAGACCAGGTAGCTTCCACACAGCGTTACGCAACCGATGAAAAGATATTGCCGCTCGACTGATTCGGAGTGAGACCTCCGCTGTTAAACCGGAGCCGGTCATAAGCACACTGCCCAGGTATGGGAAACTCTCCACTCTCTCTCCACAACTGCCCCATCACCGATTGGGAGTTGTGGAGAGGCTGGAGTGTCCGATGGTACAAAATACCCAGGCATACAAAGACAAACACAAAGATCCCCCATATAGCCCGTAACAGACTGTAGGGGCAAGTGCTGTTAGCGAGCACCAGCTATGAAGGCCGGAACGGTACACGAGGGGGTGGGTGGCCAGCACCACGCCCGACCGCCTTTGTCTCCCCGGTGGCGATGTTTACACACCGCTACACCAGGTACTCATTTGAGGCTGAGTCGACCTAGGGGAGGCCCGGGACCGGTTCAGATAATCGTCACTGGTGGTGTTGGCCGTGAGCGGGAATCGAACCCGGGTCGCCAGGTTCATAGCGCAGCGTAGCGCTAACCACTACACTACCGCTCCCCACACCCAGGCATACAACACCAACAACAACCGCCATTCGCCACTAAGTGGCGGTGACGTCACCACGACGCTTGTGCCAGGCTATGTGCACCTTGAGGCCACGTGAAGTGTCGAACGCCCGCTGGCAGGAGGTCACGGGGCAGACCCAGCAGGTGCCACGGGTCGACTGACTGAGATGACTGGCTGATGCACCACCTGTGCCCCCTACTGTGCCAACCTGCTGTGCTTTAGCCACCCGGCGCTCCGCTCGCTGTTGTGAGCGTCGCTCCTCCGCCCTCCGTTGTTGTTGGAGGGCGACTGCCTCCAACTGCCCAGTAGCGTCCTTCACGAGCCTCCTCCACAGAGGCCGATCTTGACACCGCTGGTACCAGTCATCGGCAAGTCCACTCAGCTCCACGTCCTCCTGTACCACATCACTCCATCTCTTCTCTAGCCCGTGCTGCGCCCCAGGCATTCACACACGGGTGGACATGCATACAAGAGTGTGCATACACAACAGGAGCGTGCATACACAGCAGTTGATAATCAAGGTTTTTTTTTTGGGTTAGATTAGATCGCGTTTATTTATAAATGTGTCGTAACCCTCCACCACCCGACACGGCCAATCAGCAACAACAAAAAGTGTCACGTTGACAAAAGACGAAAATAGTTCACTACTTAAGAAGTGAATTACTACTTAGTAGTGAATTACTACTTAGTAGTGAATTACTACTTAGTAGTGAATTACTACTTAGTAGTGAATTACTACTTAGTAGTGAATTATTAGTCTTTACTACTTAGTAGTGAATTACTACTTAGTAGTGAATTATTTGTCTTTACTACTTAGTAGTGAATTACTACTTAGTAGTGAATTACTACTTAGTAGTGAATTACTACTTAGTAGTGAATTACTACTTAGTAGTGAATTATTAGTCTTTACTACTTAGTAGTGAATTACTACTTAGTAGTGAATTACTACTTAGTAGTGAATTACTAATTAGTAGTGAATTATTTGTCTTTACTACTTAGTAGTGAATTACTACTTAGTAGTGAATTACTACTTAGTAGTGAATTACTACTTAGTAGTGAATTATTAGTCTTTACTACTTAGTAGTCAATTACTACTTGGTAGTGAATTACTACTTAGTAGTGAATTACTACTTAGTAGTGAATTACTACTTAGTAGTGAATTATTTGTCTTTACTACTTAGTAGTGAATTACTACTTAGTAGTGAATTACTACTTAGTAGTGAATTACTACTTAAGTAGTGAATTACTACTTAGTAGTGAATTACTACTTAGTAGTGAATTATTTGTCTTTACTACTTAGTAGTGAATTACTACTTAGTAGTGAATTACTACTTAGTAGTGAATTATTTGTCTTTACTACTTAGTAGTGAATTACTACTTAGTAGTGAATTACTACTTAGTAGTGAATTACTACTTAGTAGTGAATTATTTGTCTACACTACTTAGTAGTGAATTACTACTTAGTAGTGAATTACTACTTAGTAGTGAATTACTACTTAGTAGTGAATTATTTGACTTTACTACTTAGTGGTGAATTACTACTTAGTAGTGAATTACTACTTAGTAGTGAATTACTACTTAGTAGTGAATTATTTGTCTTTACTACTTAGTAGTGAATTACTACTTAGTAGTGAATTACTACTTAGTAGTGAATTATTAGTCTTTACTACTTAGTAGTGAATTACTACTTAGTGGTGAATTATTTGTCTTTACTACTTAGTAGTGAATTACTACTTAGTAGTGAATTACTACTTAGTAGTGGATTACTACTTAAGTAGTGAATTGCTACTTAGTAGTGAATTATTAGTCTTTACTACTTAGTAGTGAATTACTACTTAAGTAGTGAATTATTAGTCTTTACTACTTAGTAGTGAATTACTACTTAGTAGTGAATTATTTGTCTTTACTACTTAGTAGTCAATTACTACTTGGTAGTGAATTACTACTTAGTAGTGAATTACTACTTAGTAGTGAATTACTACTTAGTAGTGAATTACTACTTAGTAGTGAATTACTACTTAGTAGTGAATTACCACTTAGTAGTGAATTACTACTTAGTAGTGAATTATTTGTCTTTACTACTTAGTAGTGAATTACTACTTAGTAGTGAATTACTACTTAGTAGTGAATTATTTGTCTTTACTACTTAGTAGTGAATTACTACTTAGTAGTGAATTACTACTTAGTAGTGGATTACTACTTAGTAGTGAATTACTACTTAGTAGTGAA